GGGCAATTTGGACAAATTCAACTTGTATTGATTAATAGGTTTCAAACATGATTCTGTATCTACCTGATTAATTTATCCAATATGCACCGAATAGGTATAGCAAGTATAGAAAAAATTAGCAGAAAAATGTTAATCTTAAAACACTTTGTTATATGTAAAATGTAACGAATATGCTTAGTATATGTACCGTATAGATGAAGTTGTTCCTAGATACCACTATTTAAATAATCACCCTAAATACTGCGTACTGAGCATAATTTATAAAAAATTCAATTATCCACAATTATTGAACACTGTGCAATGCAAAATTTACTAAAAGTAATTCTCTTCGTATGTTCTGAAGTCTATAAATAAGTATATACTAGCATATTTATTTGCTCTTCCTTATAAAATTTTTAACAGCCTCACATACACACTCACAACAGCATATGTCAATTTAATGACAACGCTGACATACAACATACCGTTATTTGCATGTAGGCGTTCATCAGCAGATTTCGGTACTTTTTTTACTTTAAATTTTCTTTTGCTTGATTTCTGCCCTTCCTACAAGATGTGTTCGTTGTTTTTCATTTCCATTCATTTTGTTTCATTTTGAATTTTTTTTTTTCGGTTTTCAACATTTACAAATATTTACAATTCGATTGTCTTACTACCATCAACCACTTTACTGAGTCTTTTAAGGTTTCCTTCAATTCTATTGTATATTCTTCTTTTTTGTTTTTTGCTTTCCCGACTAAAAATTGCTTACTCTCGTTTTTTTTTCCTTTCGCAGAGCAGCACTCAAAGCTGTCATTCCGATTGAAGGCTCGTCAATCAGCTGAGAATGCGGTGGAAAGCAGAACGCCTGACAACTCTCTAAGACATTATCGATTATCATTTACTCAGCTAAAATGTCATTGATGAGAGGGAGAGAGGTGTGGCATAGTGCACACTCCGCCTGGCTATTTGCTGCCAACGCTGCCACTCACTCACTCACTCACTCAGGAATTCTTGAATTTTTATTCCGACAAATGTGCGGCGTAAACGTTGCTTGCGAGTGTAGAGACAGTAATTCGCGATGAATACATATACGTACGAGGGGATTAACAAAGGTAGGTAAGTTGATTAGAGTAAAAATAAATTCTTTTTGATTTATACCTCTTTATATTTTTATTCATTAATGCATTTTTAATGTCATTCGATCCACTTCTGAAAATATTGTTTTTTTTTTTTGTAGTTTCTACAAACAACTAGAAATCCCAAAGTGCTGTATCCGTGGAATATGACGCTGGACGTACTTCTTCGATCCCAGAGATCGCAATAAAATTATTCGTTATTTCAGCAGTGTGGGTGGGTGCGTTGTCTTGATGTAAAAAGTAGCGCCGCAAATCCTCTTACTTCCTTTTTTTAAAAAAAATTTTGGAAACTTTTGGTTAGCACTCTTCGGTGTAGCATTTTGCAGTTATCGTCTGATGCTTTTCCAGTGGAATAGCAACTCCGATTTTAGATCGAGTGAAGTAAACTGACATTATTACTTTTGATACTGATTTTTACCGCGTAGATTTTACGGGTGGTTTGACTCTGGTTGGCCTCCACTCATAAAGCTCTGGTTGATTTCTGTATCGTACTTAGAGAACCAGGATTCATCATCAGTAACTACTTTACTAAGGTTGCTAGAACTGACCATTTTCGAATTTGTTTAGGAAAAATTGAGCGAATGCACTCAAATCTCTCTTTGGGCCTCATTCAATATTCTTGGTACCCATCGCGCCGATTTCTTCGTGTATCCCAGATGATTACTTCATATTCGCGATACAGCCAGGGCATTCAACCCCAATTCATTAGCATACATTTCTTGTATCAGTCGGGTGTCTTTGTCAATTTCGCCCGGAGCTACTTTGACATAGTCTTTAAGGACGGTTTAATTCTTCTAAATGCAATTTCGCATTCACTGAATATTTGTATTGGCTGTAAATTACGCCGAAATCTGAAGAGAATCACATGGCGAGTTTCTGTTAGCGTCGGGCGTGGAATTTTCTCTAACCTATCCTCAGCTATTTTACGGTTTTCTATCTTCATTCTAGCTGATCGTTCTAAAATTTGACAGAAAGACTAATAAAGTAGAGAGATTTGGCATTTTTAGATTTGACAAAAACAAATTGAAGGTCACCAACTGACCGAACCTCTCTTATTCCCCTCGTATGTATGGGGCTGAGAATATGTGTAATAAAAAGGTTTGTATGCATTGCTGGCTTACAACGGAATTGAGCAGCAAATTTAACGCGACTTCACTTGACTTGAATTGTTTCGCCCGCAAGGCAGCAGAAGCGCCCACTGACACAGGATATGGCAGAACGAATGTGGCCAAATGGTTTTGTGGCATATGTCATAACTTTGTGATATTTTGTATGGCATGCCATACAAAATGTATTGAGGCGCTCATACATATATACATACATATGTGTATATGGGGTAGTATTTGGTTTGAATGGTGCTTTTAGTGAAATTGTACTTTTCAATACATATTTTCGCTTTTACTATGCGCCATTAAAAATGTAAAATGACTGCAATGTGCTTTAAGATACACGAGTCTTTTGATTTCCGTTCTTTACTGTTATGAGTATTTCGTTTTCATTAATGAAATTTTCGTTCTTCGAGAGGAAGAAAACAGAGATTTTATTAAACACAAAGTATTGCAGAATATTCTTCGCTACTTCTTTAGAAATACTATGAATTCAAAGGACTCAGCCAAGAGAGGAGCTCGGTGAAAATGGGACGTACGATACGTAAAGGAAGTGGAAGACTAGTCAGAAAAAGAGCTTTGAAAAAATTTAGACCCACTTTCCATTGTTTGTGGTTATATACATATAATATAAATGGCGCTTTATAACCGCTGAAGCGATTTTCGGCTGAGATGCTCCTCAAGCTCGGTGTATACGTCCTAATATTTTCATATAAATGGAGTGACCTACAGTTTATTTTGACCCACATCCAAACGGCTGACGGTGCTTCATGAGGAGCCATTTCTTGTCAGAAATACTCTCAAGTGTCCCGACTACTTTTTATAATTTGGATGTTAGTCAAACCATGTACTATAAGTATTGCTAACCACTTGGCTATTGAGGCTTCCAAGGCAGCACAAAAGCAGCTAACTGGAGCTGTTAGGAAGCCTACTTACTCGAGCACCGTGATCTTGGAGCTAGATTCTTAATGAAGAGAGATTGGAGTGTTCATAGAGAGATAAACTCCATGTTATTATTCTGAAGCACAAGGAAGACCTAGGAAACTGCTGAAACTGAAAACCGCAAACTTTTTAAAATGTGTGATGAGGTTCTTATGGATAATTTGCCTAGAAGATAGAAAAATGGTAGCGCGCTACAATCTAACTGTTAGCCCAATCTTGACATGGCAATAACAGTAAGTCAAGTTGAAGACCACAATAAATATTTCTTTAAAAGGAGTTACGTTCGGTATGATGCTTCAATTTTTTCAATCCCCTGGGGCCAATAAGAGCTCGAGCAAAGCCACATCCTCGAATCTACTGAATAATGTAATGAAACTGACACCCTGTAGCAGTAAATTATTTTCGATACAGTTGAGCTAGATAATCCAACCCTTTTGGGTTCTTAGTCACACTCTCTGTAAAAGGAAGAAAAAAACGCTGCCCGGACTGGCAAGTTCGGAAAGACTTGAGCTCTTATAGATAGATCGAGGATGTCAGTGCTAAATAAGTGTGTTCTTTCTCTAATACTACCTCATTCCAAAATACAGGAGTTGCTATTCTTTATGACTTTTGCCGAGGTACAAAGTGAGCTATATGCAAGCTAAAGTTTTCAATTATCTAAGAACAAGCAAACTCTTCTTTAAATATAATGAGAGTAAGGTCCGAAACAGACATCCCTGTCTCATCTATCAGTACTGGGAATAAAAATATTGGCTTGTTTCAAAGACTGGACCTGACTAAAGTGCTTCATTAGTGAAAATAATATTATTTCAGCTTTGCAGTGTGAAGTTGAGATTGGATTTTTACTGTTTTAAGAGAAAGGTAATGGCGAACACAATGGCCGAATGATTATCGTTGCGTACTACCATTCCCCACGGCAAAGATCGCACACCCTCGTTCGTTCAACATCCAATTTAAATATAAATTAATAATATAAATAATTGCGTTTGCCCTTCGGCAGTGTATGTCAAGCCCTGCGAGCGTATTTTTGACATGAAATAAAGGCTCCTCCATCGGAGTCAGCTTAATATTAACTTAAGGATACTCCATTTGTTGGAAAAAACATCAAGAGACATATCAAAACTCGAAGGAGAAGCTCGGCGGAAAATTGCTTGAGTGATTTCAAAGTCCAAAAAATAAGAAAAGATTATTATAAGCGAAAGGCAAATATGACGCTCGTATGTGGGCTGTTGCAAAAAAATGTCACCTTAGCGCCATTACATCGGGCAAACAAACTCATGTTGAGAGCAAAAGTTCCAGTTGCTGGTTCCGCAGCCGCAGCAAATATGTGGTTAGCAGTAATCCAGGAAAAAATCATGAAATCGTAGACTAAATACTCCAATATAGAAATGCAAAGTTTTGTAGCTTCTCTTAGAAATCTATTAGCCTTCGAAAGTGGCTTAGAATGAATTTTATGACCATCCATTTATTGAAGAAGCATCGCAAATTCAGGGAGGGCCTTGGCCAAGGGCTCTCATGACTATTGGGTGAACTGAAATCTCCTATGGTTTTGAAATACTGCGAAGTGCTACAAAACTAACATTTGAAATGGTGCAGCTTTGATTTCTATGCCTCGGAAACTCCTAGTAATGTTACATTCATAAATTTATAAAATACTCTGTACATTAAGAAATCCCCTTAGAGAGATTGAGGAGTGTTCATAGATTTAACTCTTTTCATTTCTTGAAGTTCAACCCCACATAGAAAATATTTATGCATTAAATATTGGAAAATATATGAGTAAAGCTCACTCATGTCTAAAAAATTAGATAAGAAAAAGGAATCCATCACTCACCGTATTCAGATTTGTTACTTTATCCAATTCCACAGCTGTGCTGCCACGATGATGATGTAAATGTGGCAAATGATGTGTTGTCAACATGTTGCTGAAGAGCTCTTTTACTACTTATGCGCTTATATTCTCGTATTCTTACCACAATAACAACAACAATAATTTCTGATACTTAATTTTGATTTATACAAAATGCACAGACTTCGTAGAGCACTTGCACTTTATTTATGCACTTTTACCCGCTTCTATGCTATTCACTTGCACTTTATTTCCTCTCACTTTATTTACACATTTGCTCTCAGAAAATAATATTTGTAAGCTCTCAACTATTTCCTTTTATTATTTTTATTATTATTATTTTTATTATCACAATAAAGATTTTTAGAGCTTATTTACGCACACAAACAGAATTTTCTTAAACTGCATAACTCACATAACGGAAATTGTATTTGCAATGTTATGTACTCGTATGCACATCTTTATAGACATATGTATGTCCATATGTATGCACTGTATAGTCACGCTGACTGCTAGACACTGCATAAATTCACTGAAAAATAAAATGAAATAAAATTCGTTTTTATATTTATGCATTTGTATACATTATATGTACATATATGTATGTGTATGTATGTATGTATATATACGTAGGAAAATGCAACATTCATGTTAAATATAATAAATGCATGTTTTTTGTTGAGTTATTTGCGGCAAAAATGACAGCAGCTGATGAGTGCACTTGATGCTGCACACGCACAAACGCACTTACACATTAACACACATGCATATCTACATGTCACGTTAACACATAAAAGGAGGCGAGCTCTTGCATGTCAGAGAGTCAACGATAAATGGTTGCTTGTCAACCACAATTTTCGCAGTTACACACACTCGTACCAACGGTATAGTGTTTACAGTAAGGCACTACTTGTTAAGCATGGTCATAAGTGTTCACGTACATACATACACCTATCCATGTATACGTATGTTTGCATTCAATGAATCTTACTTGTCATTGCGCTTATGTGTGTCGGGGATGAAGGACTGCAGAGACTGGCTGTCAAAGTGTTTGCTCATTTTGTAATTCGACTTGTTTTCACCAAAACCGAAATGACTGAGCGAGTCTGCTTAATCGTTATAGCATAAAAAATCTTATAACCAATTTATTCTATGCATTTGTAGTGCTGCTGAAAGTACAAAAGTTGTAAGACAGAAAATAAAAAAATGGCTCAAAACAGATAAGCTACTCGTTACTACTTTATTTTACTTTTTTTTTAAATTTATTTTCTAATTTTATTTTATTTATTTCTGTTTTAATTTAGTTTATTTTGGTTTATATAATTTTATTTTATTACTCTTATTTTGTTTTATTTTATTTAATTTAATTTAATTTTATTTTATTTTTATATATTTTATTCTATTTTATTTTATTTTATTTTATTATTCTTATTTTGTTTTATTTAATTTAATTTAATTTAATTTTATTTTATTTTTATTTATTTTATTCTATTTTATTTTATTTTATTTTATTTAATTTAATTTAATTTAATTTTATTTTATTTTATTTTATTTTATTTTATTTTATTTCACTTTATTCAATTTAATTTAATTTTATATATTTTATTTAATTTTCTTTATTTTTATTTGTTTTATTTTGGTTTATTTTATTTTAATTTAATTTATATTGATTTCATTTAATTCTATTTATATTGATTGCATCACCTGTTGGCGACAGCTCAGCTGCGAGCCAATTATTTTATTGTATTGAATTTATTTATTTTCTTTTATTTCATTTTATTTTATTTTAGTTAAATATTTTTTAATTTATATATTTTAATTTATTTAAATTAAATTTTTTTTTATTTTATTTTATTTTGGTTTATTTTATTTTATTTTATTTTTTTATGTTTTCTTGTTTTTGTTTTTTTGAATTCAGTTTAATTAGTTTTTATATGCTATTATATTGTTTAAATTAGTCGCGCCTCAAAACTAATTGCTGTAAGCGCCTAGTGCGTATGAGTAACCTTAGTAATGTTTTATGTTTTGAGTTTATGCACTTAAATTCATCCAAGTTCACATAACTCATTTATTTGCAAACTATTTAATAAACTTTCCCACAAAAATATTTTGCTTAAATGCATAGCTTTTTCTATCAACTACATACATACACATTATTTTTATGAGCATCACATAATTGTAATTGTGGTTTCTCATTACCCCATTTTTCTGCTTTAATTTATATTCATGGGCAACTTTCTAAGCAAAATATAATGAGCTAATTTTCATATAAATGCCATGATATTGCATATGAGTACATATCGCATATGCATACACGTATGACGCTCAGGTTGGTGTGTTCGTACTTTAACACATTTACTCCTTTATGGACACCTACGTAATTATGGTAATGAATAGGTGTAGTTTAATTTTATGCACATTATATGCATTCTGATTGTGGCCAGCGCAAGGGTATTAGTATAGAGGGTTGCTCTTTGTTGGGACACTGGAGAGCTAAATAAAAATTTATATAAAAGAGAAGCTGAAAGTTATTACTTGTACGAGTAGCACTTAATTGGAAAGGCGCATGGCATATCTAGTTAAATAAGCCGACAGTAAGTTAGATATGGAATTTAATTCGAAGGTCAAAGCGACTTTGATAATTATTAATGCCTTAATTTATAAACGTTTATATATACTTAAGCACAAACATATTTCAGTAAATAAATCCATCGAAAAATATTTTGGTTTTATAAGAAGGTAATATATTTTAGGCAAGTTTTCTTGGAAGAAATTAAAAACCGCGGACATAAGTCACACCATCAAATTAAGACAAGTGACATTTTGACCTTAATCGTTACTTCTTCTTAAAAAAATTGTTAAAATTATAAGACATATGAATTATACATATTTTTCCTATTTAGTGTTTATAGCATCCTCTTTTCGGTATCATTAGATTTAAAATCTATGATAAAAATTTGCTTAAGCTATTGTTATGTGTTTCTAACTGGCATCATTTCCCCACATTTCCTCAAAGCCGTTTGAATAACAATATGTGCTCAAGTGGTATGGATATTATATATGTATAAGTTTCCTAATAGAGACAATAAATATCGAATTAAAATAATCTGACATTGTAACCACAGGAACTAAATATGGTTCCAAGGTTAGCACACAAAGGTATAGAGTCCTCAAAAACTAAAAAAAAATATTTTTTTATTATTTTTATTTAATATATTTGTTAAATTTCTTTCTTTTGCTTCCTTCGGTTTTTTTTCTGAAACTTTCTCTTTCACTCAATAAATTTATATTATTGGGAAAAAACCGCAATTTCACAAATTCGCTAAACTCAATGTGTCAAGTGGGTATTACCACAAGAGACTCGAAGAAATTTATTTCACTTGTATGCTGTTGAAAGTGGCAAAATTAATGTGAGTAGGCGGAGAGAGAAGAACACTGGAAAAAAAGAATGCTCTATTGTGGTGTAAGAGTAGTAGGCAAAACGAGAGCTGAGCAAAACGGAAGTATTGTAAATGCATACTCGTATGTGTGTAAATAGACGTACCCATATACACTGGTGGCCATAATTGTAGGACTGCTATTTTTTATTTCTTTAGTTTTAACTTTTTCTTGAATATTCTTGGAATGAATAACTTGTGTATTCAGTGAGAAATGCAATTAAATAAAAAATACATAGATATATGCTTAATGTAATTGTTGTGTAAGAGTCGATATTTAACTATTTATAATATTTTTTTTCAATATTTTTTTCTAATAATCAATTAATTGATGGTAAATTGAAATTATTGGGGAATAGCATTATATACACGTATATACATATAACCAATGACGCTCATATTAATTTTATGAACTTTAGTTATTTTTTAGTACTTTTTTAATATATTTCGCATGTAGAACGTCACTTATGTTTTACAAATTTTTATTTAAATAATAATTTAAATACTTACTTATTACTTCTTATCTTTCTATAATAAGTATTTTAACAAGTTTAAAAACAAAGAAATATGAAATTCTTTTTTTTTATTTTTTTTTTGGGTTTAACTATTAATATTTATGGGTTTTCAGCAACCAAAAACAAAAATTACACAAAAAAAATTGATATATAATATATAAATAAATATAAATAACAACTTTCCGATTATTATTTTTATTTTGCTTTGAGTTAATACGATTTTCTTCTTGAGTTTAACCTTTTGTTAATTTAATTTTTTTATGAATTAATTTAATAGAACGGCAAAATACGTCGTTAAATATTTGATGTAAAGTTTAAATTAGTTTTTATTCTCGTTAGTGTATATACATAGAAATGTCTTATATGCATGCCTATGTACATATGTCGGTCTATGCATATCCATATTTTTGCTGTGCCTGCATATATCCCATGAGATTTAAGCCTCTAAACGCCGCTTATGCATCGAAAGTACTTTAGCATGTTGTTCAACACCCACGAACATGAATGTAAGCACAAATATATATATATGTACATACGCAGAAGCGCACAATACACATGCATGCTGTGGATTTACTACAATGTAATAAAAGCAATTCACAGACACTTTCTTAAAACAAAAAAAAAATATATATATATGTATATAAAAATGTGTTAGAACAGCCAACAGCTGTATTACTATACATGTACATTCATACATACTAACATGTATAAATCTTAGCTAATACCGTTAAGTATGCATTGAAGCATTTCGCATTTCGCATTTCACATTTGTTGGCACTTGCATGCCACTTTCACAGTTCGTTAGTAAAAATCTCGAAAGCCGCAGGCCTAAAGCCCAAAGGCAAAACCCAAAACGCAATAGGAAGAAACTGTCGTTACCTAAAGTATTGCCAATTTGTTGAAAGTCTAATGTATGTAAGTACAGCACATACATAAATATTTAATATATGCATATGTATTTATATGTATATTTATGTTTAAGGTTCACACCTCTTCTACTAACAAGCACATACCCACGCATGTTGAACTTGAATTGCACAACGAGCCAGCAACAATAAATCATGTAAAAAGTTTTTTGTTGTTAGCTAAATAAAGCAAGGTAAATATGCATATACTGGTATGTAGCTATTTTAGATATTTACGAAAACTTTTTACACGCCAAGCAGATGTGATAAGTCCAGGCTTTTTTAGAGAATTTCTTTCTTTCTACTGCTGCTGCAGGTGTAGACAACAACAATGTGTTGCAGAATGATGTGAAGTTGTTGTGCAGGTGTATTTTTCGTTGATTTCTTGTATATTTTTTAAATTATTTTTATTTTCAGGCCTAACAGAATTTGAAAATCATAAATTTATGGGTTGAGATAATAAAAGAATTTTCGAAAAGAATTTTTTCTAATATCCTGCATGAGATCAAAGAAGTCACATTATGCACTTTCACCACGTCTTTTTGTCGTTTCAGTTGGTTCGAAGATGAACTTACCCGACAAGCTTCAATTGAAGGCGCCGAAATCAAAACGATATATTACAATAGATCGGAGATGCTGCAAC